CAGCAGGAGTGAATTGAACTGCTGGTGTCATTTATTTTCAAAGAAGAAGAGCTGCAGTTTGGTTTTGGATGGGGAGGTGTTTGATGTGGTGCTTTTTGGTGTTTTTTTTTCCCCAAATGGTCCCTGCTGTGCAGCCACTGAGCTGCAGACCTGGCATCTACACTGGCAGCTCCCTCACAGCTCAGTTCACAGTGACACTTCTTCTGGTCCTCCTTCCCTTTTCTTAAAAAAAACCCCCACAACTCAATCTTCATAGTGTTTTTACACTTCCTTCATAGGTAGCAGGGGGCTTTTCCAAATCATTGTGTGGAAGCAGGTGCTGGATTTGAGAGATGTGTCACTCTGCTGAGCTGGGGAAGGTGCTTGCTCAGAAATGTGAGCAGCCTGGATCATTACAGGATGCTTCTTCACTGACTCTGCCCACAGACCTTGAGCATCTGACCCTGGGAAGAACTCTCCCCACAGACCTACTAGCTCTGGGATCCTTCAGCTCACCAGCACCCTGTTACAACTGTGTTCCTGCTGCTCCCTGGCAGCTCAGCTCCCCAGGATGATCAGTTTCTCAGCTCTAAGGGACACCACTGCCTAGGTTTGTTGTCTCAAATTCAAATGAAACAAAACCACAGAAGCATTTTTGCTGGGATTTCTCTGCCTTCTCAGCTATCAGGCCCCCCAACAACTTTCTGGACTAGAGAAGTACTTGTTGCATCCTGGAAACAATCTCAAGACATCACTGATGCCCTCAGAGAACATTCCTGACAGCTTTGAGAGGATCCCCAGCAAATTACATCCCAAGTGATTAACCCAAGGTGTCCTAAAGGCCCATTTGGGTTGGACTCAGTGCCTCTGATTCACTTCAAAAGACTTTAGATCAGGTCCAAACAATCAAAGCTTGGCTCTTCAGCAGAGGATGGTGAGACAAACCAGCTTTAAAAACACAAGAATGTGTCTTCAGAACATTCAGGGGTACATGCTCTGCACAAGGGGTCCTTCCCAAAGCCCTTCTGCAGATACTTGTTGCCTCATTAATAAGACTCATTAGCCATCTCATTCTCCCTTCCTAACGTCCTGCCCAAATGTCATAGCAGGTCTCTTGGAAAAACATAGTTCATGAAAAACCTTGCCAAGAAAACTTTTGTCAGCAAGCTGGAAACGTTAGAGCACCCCTGGGAGCTGCTCTAACATTACCACTCTTTCTCACTGCTCAGCTGCTTTTACCAGCCCCCTCCCTGGAGAGCCCTATTACTAGGAAGTAACAAGGACTCACACAGAAAATAGGAGGGCACTGAACTCTGGGTTAGTTTTTTACAGAGATTTTTCCAGGCAGCCTCTCTGCCCTGTTGGGACAGCTACATGTCCAGAGCTTGAAATGTCTAAGTAACCATCCCCTCACAGCTGAGAGTTTCTGTATTTGCAGGAAGGTATTAATGACATTCCCAGTTTGAAAACCCTGGTTCCACCCCGTGGTAGCCTGGAGGAGAGCAGTTTCACTCTGCTCCTCACAGAAATTCCTGTTCAGACACACAAGCCATTTGTTCAGTGAGCAGTAGAACTACTGAAGAACTGATTCTAACTGAGGCCTCTTCCATGGCTTCTCTGATGCCCAGAAAAGGTGTGACCTTGCTGACTTCTCACTGTGAGAATGTCTCCTCTCTCTGCCAGCTTTCATAAAACTTGTAAGAGCTCATGCTCTTTGAGACTGACTTACACCTCTCCTAAACTGGCTAAAACATGCCAGCAGGTTCAGAAGTCTGTTGGGAGGAGATGACATACACCTCATTTCTTTAGAATGCAAAACAAAAAACATGACTTCAACCAGAAGTGCCCAGGGAGCACTAATTTTAAAAATAAGCCTTCTTCACCCTCTAGAGCAACCCAGCTCATAAATATTGCAAGTACAACTTTAACAAATGTTCCACTGCAGCCAGCAAAGCTGCCTGTTCTGGAAACTGGATTTCCAGCTGGAATTTGCCAGTGTATCTTCCCTCCCTGTGTACAGATACTTTTGCAAGAGGATAATTGAACAGAATTAGTTCACAGACCTGCCAGAAACTTGCCTGTCAGCTGTGGAAAGCATACCTGGAAACATCTAGGAATGGCTTGTAGGCAATGGTTACCCACTCTTCTTTGTTGGAGGAATACCTTGGCTCCCTTGGGCTTTCAGCTGCTGTATCCAAGTCCACCAGATAGTGGCATTTGGAAATGTCAATCTGCAGAAAGACAGACATTCTTGTGGTTTATTTCCTGTGGGCTGCTAGTTGTATATGCTCATTTATACAGGCTGTGACTTAGCAATGAGAAGGGGGTTTATTTTTAGCAATAGGTGAAATGCCTCACACAGGATATATAGGAAAAGATTTTTAATGTCATCAAAGAAAAGCTTATGGGGGAATAAAAGCCACCACTACTGCCCTGGTCATAGCAGGAGAGTCCTAGAGTCCCCCTCTGAGAAGAACCACTGCTGGATGATTATGTCTTATTCCCTCTTACTCCCTCAGACTCTTCCTTGCAGGATCCCACATTTCAGTTTGCTCTCCCACAAAACGTCATTGCAAACTTCCTTGGACATGCTTGAATTCACTTTTTTGAAGCACCTTTGGGGTTTATTGTAACAACTGAGGCTGAAAACAATTTAATGAGGTGGATACCAGATGGCTCCATGGCATCACAACTGAGTGGCAAATGAAATTACACCAAGGGAAAAGCAGCTGAGGAGAATGTTGAATCCACTTCATGCACTGTATGAGAAGAACATTTCAGGCCCTGGGAGAGGTTCTGGCTCATTAGCAAAAAGATTCCCAAACCATCAACCAGGTTTTTCTGTAAGTGATGTAGAATCATCCAGAGAAAGACAAGATACTGCCTCAAGCACTAAGACTGATCTCACTTCCCTCACTCTAAACACTCCCCTAAAAAACACCTGGCACTTCCAGTGAATTATATGCCAGATGAAAGATTTCCCTTCTGCCATCCCAAGGATAATCCTCCTCCTGGTCAGAGTGCCAACACAGCACCTGTGCATTTATCTGGGGATGGACATAGAACTTTGGTGGTGCACAAACCTTGCAATGTTCCTTTGTAGAAAGAAGTCAGTGATCAGAGCTACAAGGAATTTCTAAATTCCATCCCATCCTCTTCTGCTCCCTCTCACTCTTTTTTTCCATTGGATGCAACTGCTGTGCCATGTGGTGCATGACATTTGATCCCATCCTGAAGAACAGGAGTGGGCACAGCAAAGTACAGAGGCACAGGATAGCCTGATGTGCCTCAGGATCTTACCCTGGCCACACAGGGCACAGCAGGAGCTTGTCTTGTTTGCCACAGATGAAGTTCAACTGTTTTGAGCAGAACCAGTGGTGTTTTCCTGATCACTCAAGTGCATACTTAAAAAAACAAGACCAAGCTTCAGGTGGTTCTTTTGGTTCAAAACAAAGGGAATTGGAAAAGGAGTGAAAACAAAAGTAGTTAAAAAAAACTTCCTCTGAAGTTGGGAGTTCTCAGAAGCTTCAGCCTGATCTACTGTTGCTGCTTGGATACATCTCTGTAAGAGATAATGCTCCTTATCTCTTTCTTAGCAGTTTCAGTGACAAATGCACCTCCCCAGCTGGACAAGTACAAGTTAAGTGCTGTTCAACATGATTAAGGAAGGAGGAATGGCAAAACAAGGAGATCAAATCACTCTTTTCCCCAGTGTCTCATAGCAACAGAAACAGATTCACTCTCCAATTTTCAGGCAGAGCAGTAATAGATACTTACACTTGAACAGAGAGATCAGGCCCATATCTGCAGCCACTAATTGGTTTTAAGCTGTCTGTGGCTCAGATAATCCTTTTGAACCATGTGTTTTCTCCCCTTTAAATGACCAACAGACTCATGCCTTTCAGATTTATTTGCTTTGATGGTCCTTCCCAGTGCTTGCTAACCTATTTTTTTTTTAAATCTGAGTATGCTTGCACTCACAAGCTCACTCAACTTGGGAAAAGATCTTGGTCTCTTGTTGTTATCAGCAGGTCAGAAGTAAGAAGTTTCAAAACTCCATTTAAAATTCACACTTAGCAGCTGATTCCTCATGTCCCAGGCCCTTCTGCTTGCATGAGAAATAAAAAAATGGCAGGGTGACATGAAGAAACAACCAGGGAACAGCAGTGTGTTTTGCTCCATTAGTCACAGGCTGTGCAGCAGCCAGCTGTCTGTGCTAAAAATATGAAATATGGCAGAGTTCAGGAGTGGGTAAATGAAATGCAATGCAGCAGAGAGCTGCTCTCAGGTGGGAACACCCCTCCTTCCCATTTCCAGTAACTGCACCATCAGGCTCAAAATAAGAAAGCTTCAAGCCAGGAGGCTGATCCTTGCTTTCACCCTGCCACTCCTGTGAGCAGATAGTACTGCAAAAAGTACTTATTCCACAGCTAAGATTTAACCTGCTCAATAATTCTAAAGATGTTGGCTGACAACAACCTTAAAATATTCATAGGTGTGCACTGTTTTTGTTTAGGTAACACAATTCAACAAGGAAGGGTAACATATTAACACCTTCTTTTAAGAGATTCCATTGAAATCACTCCTGCAAGTGAAGTTCCAGATTAAGTTCCTCCTCCTCAATTGCAAATATGATGAATACAATTATATTTAAAAAGAAAGTACAAAGGGAAATCTCAATCCCTGCCCAGTGACAAACATTTCCTGTGGGGGATTTCAAACTGCTCATTCAATCCACTTCCCTGTGACCACAGTAACACATTATACTGACTCCAACACTGCAATAACCAGGGATTATTATGATTATTGTTGTTGTATTTAAATACAAAAATAGGCAGATGAAATGCAAACAGACCAATCACATAAATGGGGAAATTTCCAAGTGCTGCAAAGAGCCCATGTTTGTTCTGTACCTTCTACCAACCCCAGGAAACAAAGTGGGGAGATCCAATCACAGGCTTAATATGAAGACAAATGATACAGTAAGGGAAGGAAAAGAAAGCAGGAATATAATCCTTACATATCGAGATGGCTCCTCCTTGTTTTGGTCATTCATGTCAGTGGGAATGATCCGTGTGGCCATTGGTCCCTTGGCAAATGGTTTTGGTAACTGGCCCCTGAATTCTGACAGGATGAACTGGAGCTGCCAACTGCAGAGAAGAGAGTCAGGAAGGTGCAGTGACATTTTGCGTGGTGAAAACCAAAGGCACAGCTAAGGACACTTCACCCCTGGGGACAGACAGCCCTGCTAGAGGAGCAGTCACACTGCAAATTTTGAGCAGCTTGTGGCCAGCACAACCTGCTGACAACTTCAGAATCTTCTGGTTTGGATGTCCTGGTGTCAACAGGGAAACGAGGTCTTCAAGGTTACTCCCACAAATACTTATAAGAAGTGCCCCTCCTTATGGATCTCAGCAAATTGTACCTTTTACATGAATCAGCTTACTTATCTGGCAGGAGAAAGCTGCTTGGGAACCTGTGCCACTCCTTTCCCACACAGACATTAACTGGTCTCCCCTCTGGCACAGTGTGAATACTTGGATCAGTAGCAATCCTGTGGAATTCTGGATACAGGTCCAGGGGCCCATGGTAGCCTATGGAAGGCAGAAAGTTGTAAATAAGTTATAGGTGATATTTACATGGTTACTTTGAAAGATTACAAGAAACTGATCTTTTTAACTGATAACTGCTTAAATGAATTGGTCTATGCTTGTAAGTGGCTGGATTCCAAAGCTCCCCCTCCTTTTAGGAGCACTTGCACCCTATCACCTTTATCCACATCCTCCTTCCCTGTCAATGACCATCAAGGAAGAAAATACTGATGAGGTGGAAGGTTCAATGTATGGCTCTGACTCATGAGAGTACTTAAGGACTATGTCTAATCCATCTCTGTTAAGGGCACATGCACCAAATTACAAGTTTTACATGGGAAAATGTTTTTTCCAGTGGGATCCTTTGACTGAAAGTTGAAGTATCTTGATTTAATATGAGACTGAGTACAGGTTTTGTATCAGTATAGTTGTGCTGGCTGAGGGGCAGCAGATTTTTAACTGATATAATTCCAGTGATACATACATGAATATATATGTTAATAGAATCATAGGATCATAGAACCATGGAATGGTTTGGGTTGGAAAGGACCTTCAAGATCATCTAGATCCAAGCCCCCTGCATGGGCAGGGACACCTACATACACACCTATAACAACTCATTAATGGTGACCATCAGAACTCATTCCTGTCCCTACCACAATGACATCCAAACTTTCAAGGTTCCTTATTTCTCCTGTGCTGCTACAGTCAAAGCAGCACCACTTTGGCAGGCCCTAAGACTTGCCAATACTCAGGAAAGCACAGGCCAAGTCTGAAATACCAACCTCTGAATAAGGCAACAGAACGTGACAATGACAGAAGGCCAAAGAGAAGGACAGTCCCCAGGGCCAGCCAGTTGGAGGACACTGTGTAGTGCTCCAGGCGGTAGCGCTGGAAGACGAAGTGGTAACATTTCTGAGGAGAGGATTAAAGAAAAAAAAATGACAATATGAAATTACTCAAACTCTGATCTGTTGAGCAAAATGCCATTTTGCATAAGGATCTTACAGCAGTGCCTGCATCTCCCACCAGACATTTGATCTTCATTTTTTCATCCAGACCCATTAAAAAATGCACAGAAACTCCCGTGGTTCAGTCCCGTTTCTGAGCAGATATGAACAGATCATCTGGGGTGTTTAAAGACATTTGAAGGCCTCTAATCAAGCTGTAAAGTGCTCTCCCCCGGGGCTACAGCTTGGTTGTTGCCAGGTGAGCTTCTGTAGAGCTGCCCCATGCAGACAGCCCTCCTGTTCAATGCTGGGCTGACTTCCTCTAGGACCCAGAGTTACTGAGTGACCCGTGGGTGTTCACCCTGTCTGCACACAGGACAGCCCTGAAGTGGCTAAAAGAACACACAGCACATTCTGCATCCACCCTTAAATATAAGCTACTCTGTTAAGAACAGCACTTTTGGTTTTTCTAATTTAAAAGCCTTTCTGGGAATACCCAGGAGGAACTACATCCAATACTTGGCTTGGTCCCTCCCTCCTGCTCTGCCTTTATTATTTACATATTAGTTATTATTTGCTTCCTCTCCTAATCTGATTTCTCTTCCTCTTGTCTTGTCTCCATTTTTTTCCTGACATCCAGATCCATGTGGTTTGGAGGAGCAGACTCTGACAGGCTTGTACTGCTAGTGGGCAATTAGTTCTAAATTCTCAGCAGGGTATCTAATACTGGACAAGGTGCCATCAAACTGAGATAAAATATGCAGGATTCCTACTAGGATACCACAAAATGCATTTCCTACACACAGACATTCCTGCCCCTTGAAGCAAAGGAGGCACAGTTACTAATCCTCAAGACTTCTCTTGGATGTTGTGTTGTCTTGGCACTAGAGCATCACAACTTCTCACCAGAAATTCCTACTTGAGAACAACTCATCGTGAAATAATTATTGGCAAGGAAATCTTCTCAACCATTTATCACTTCACACAGTCCCAGACAAGCTCCTAATCACCTTATAAAGCCAGGAAATTGGATCTTTTTGGTGAGCAGTCAGCACTGGAGTCCAAGAGGATGAGCTGAGCTCATTCTATGTGACACTCGGAAGGGGAATCCCAAATAATTTTGTTTCTATGTCACATCTTACAGGGGCCTAATAGTTTTCCACACGCTCTCAATCAACCCACGCAGGACAATTAATGTTTCACTGGCAGGATCAGCAGTGCATCCACACACACTTCCCTGCTAGCACAGCTGTGCATTTTGCTTCCAGAGTCTCAACACCTTTCCATGAAAGGTAGTTCAAAAAGAAAACTGTACCAGCTAACAGATCGAAGGTGATGATCAGTAGTTATGCACAGGACAGTCCTGAACTCTGTAATCACTGTAGATTGTGTCTCAGACACAGATCCTCTGCAGATATTCCCAAACTCTGGGCAGCAGTGTTAGAGAAGGCAGCTAGCAGTGATGCTTCCTAAAGGTATGAGACTCAGTGAAGAAACATCTTCCACTAAAACTCACCTGCAGAGCAGAGAGAGCCACAGCACCACAGAGACAGATGAGGGGGTAGATGGGAAAGAGGAACCTCTCTTCTTTGTGGGCCTGACTGAAGAAAATCATGATCCAAATGTACATTGGAGCCAGTGTCAGCCAGTAGGGACGGCCCAGATTCTGAACTGAAAGAAACAAACGTTCCTCAAAGTAGTAAAGTAAGAAATGAGGGGTTTCTGCTGCTCCCCCTCTTGCACCATCACATCTCACATTCCAAACCCACTCTTCAGACCCAAACCATTGCCTTCAGACACAAACACACCATGTTTGGAGCAGCTGTGTTGCTAAAATCCAGGTAGCATGTCCAAACAGTCAGTACAGAACTTTGGTCAGATAATTTTTTAGAGATTCCTACAATAGTAACAACTTCAACAGACTTTAGAAGACCAAGAGCAGAAAATAAGAGCCTGTGTTACTGAATCCAAGCAGGAGACTCCCATCAAGAGCTGACATGTCAGTCAGAAGTGCTGTATTTCCAGCTGGGCATTATGCCATACATACAAAGATCCAAAAGGATCTCCTCTGGACCTACCCTTCCATTTCCAAATGGTTGTTTAGAGACTGATGTTTCCACCACCCTCATTGCTTCATTACAAAAATAACAGCATGAGAGGTCTCTCAGGCTCATTCTGCTTAATGGAGGAAATAAGTGATTCAAAAATAACAACAATTACCCTGAATTTGAGTCACACTGAGGAGGGTTCTACAGTGCCTGACGATTTTCAGTCCCTTTTCTGCCCCCTTGCTACTCCCAACAGCAGAGTGAAGCAATTAAGCTAACGGCATTTCACAGACAAAAAGAACAAAGCCCTCGGCAGAACTGCTCCTGCTGTTAAGTACAAGAACACCAAGTGAACAGCAGGAAACCTCTCATTTACAGGACCTCCGACTGAGCTTTTACTGGTTTCTGACAGTAAGTCAGTTCTATCCAAGGAACAGCTATAAGCAAACACCCCTTAACATACATTTTCAACAAGGATTATGCTGCTATTGTTTCTTGTGTTCAGTACAAAACCAGAAGCACTAAGTGGACTGATGGATCTGAAGGCTGCTGCTGCTTAATGGATCTTCCTTAGGAAAACAGCTGAGAAGAAGTGACACTTCCTCAACACCTTTTTCCTCTCCAGGGTCACTTGCCAAATGTCGTGTGTTTAAAGTGATGTCATTTTATTTAAGAGAAAGCCCAACATGAAGTTGGGAATATTCTAGTTCCTCCTCTCTCTACTCTCAATATATATGCCCAGATATCTATAGGGACACTTCCCAGAGTGTGGGGTAGCAGGACTGTCCTTAAGGTGAAGACTGCCCTTCACAGAGCACAGAGGTGTCCAGGTTCAGTCTCAACATGGGCAGCAGAGACCAGGGGATGCCTCTTTGTATGCTCAGTCCCAACAATCAAGAAGGGAACAATAACTCTGTCCTCTCAAGCTGCTGCAGAAAACATTCTGGCAGTGGTAGGAAAAAAAAAGTAACAATGGAAGAGGCAGCAAAAGGTTCCCCAAATAACTCTGAAGGCTGCCACTTCCAGCTGCAGATAAGATGGAAACAACAATGGGTACAGAGTTTCTTTCCCTGTTAAGATTTCTAATGCATTGCATGTCTGGCTGAAGGTTGTGTACCATGCAACTTGATAAGCTCACTCTGGGCATGGATAATTCAGCCTTAATAACACATTATTCTTCTTGAGGTGGAGGGAGGGAACATAGGAATCATCCTTAGAAAGAAAACATGTCTCTGCCCTTCTCCTGGCAGCAGGTAACCAGACCCATCTCACTGCCTGCTCTTTCTATGCAGCAACTCCATTGTGGAGTCAATTCTGGACTAAGTCATGAGCTCTAGGGACTTTTCTATTATTGCAAAGACTTTCCCCCAAGTTCCAATAAAGGAAAACGGCTCTTTGGCAGGCAAGCTCTCCCTGAGTATCAAGGCTGAGCCCCAGGCTGTCTGTGCTTAGTTCCCACAGCTGTGTTGCACTCACCATGGAATTTCTGAAGCAGACACTCCATGAGACAGGTCAGGGGCAGCACAAGCAGTGCCAAAATAAATGCCACGTTGAAATTCAGAAAGCCATTGATGAAATAGAAGGACCAGGGTTCCGTACCTAAATGATGAGAAAAGAATGAGAAGAGGTTTAACATACAAACATGTGTGAGATCTAGATTTAACAGCAGCTTTGTTCCTTCTCTGCCTGGCACAGACTGAAATAACCAGCAGCAAGCATCAGTTCTCCCCACTGCAAGCATACTGGAACCACAGCATGGAAAGGGTGAGCAGAGAAGGTCTTGCAACTGGATAGAGGATGCACTCCCATGGCATGACCCCGAGCCATCTCATGCTTCTGCCCCTCACCCATAAACCTGCCATAGCAGTGGCACCAGAGTCAGTCAATAGCCATACAAAGGCACCAGAGTATCTCACCCTCATGTCTACACAAGAAATTTCACTGTCTGCCTTTTCAGAAGTTTCCTCCCTCCCGTTTCACTGGATCACAGTCAGTGTTGCATCTGCTGCTTATGAATCACAGGCCACTCTGAGACTCAGCCTTGCCCAACAGAGCTCTGTGCCACAGAACTCACCCTTCCATCAAGAAAGCCTACCCAGCAAGGAAGTTAACTTCTTGTAAAACGAAGACATTTTACTCCAAATCCATTCTTTCTAATTGCAGAGAAGTAACAGGAATAACACAAAACCACACCATGTTAACAAGAGATGAGTGTCACTCTGGAGTGATGAGGCATACTCCATATTGGTAGAATTAGAAAATGTCCTAAAAAGGAACAAGAAAAAGGGTTCACATCCACACTTCACCCCAACAAAGACTCACTCAGGTGACAGTTTGGGTACCTCCTTAGAGTCAACACTAGTTAAAATGTCCCTAGTTAAATTTGTTCTTCAAGTGGAGCTTCAAACAGCTCTGCCTCCCAATATGACACACTTGGGTATTGGCTGCAGGCTTCCAAGGATGGAAACTGAAACTCCAGTCCAACTGTCACTTATTTGGACTCTTAATTCAGGATGCTTAAAATCCTGAACAATGAGGAATGCCAGCTTCTCTCCACACATTTGCCACTCTCTCAGTGTGATTAGCTCAATCAGTCAGTAAATGACACGTGGGGGCTTTAATCACTGCACTGTTGTGACATGTGTCACACGCCGCAGCAATTTCCTGCAATCAGAGCCACTTAAATAGGGTCCATGTTGAAATTAATCAGACAAGTGACAAGCAGCAAGGGAAGCCCGAAATCTCTGCAGCTCCTACAGCTAAAGAGGATTAGAAGATGCACCAGTAATGTCAGAAACATCCTGCTG